AACTCCTTTTATTTATTTATTTGAAACTTCACTGGTCGCGATCGCTCCCTTGCCTTGCAATGACGACAAAACTGGAGGCACAGGTCTAATTGTCAGCCACAAAATTTCCTATCCATCGATTTTAGTGGAGGACTTGTCGTTTTCAAGCTGACCTGTGCACCCCGGGATATCAGTGAGCTTTGCTGAAGGGGGTGCATTTGGACTGAAGGTTGCAAAGTGTAAATGTGGCCGTGTGGTTGGCGATAGACAGGCAACAGGAAGAGGGGCGATGGGTGAGGATTCATATGCAATCTTGCCTTTTATGGGAAAAGCGATCACAAATGTTCTTGTCTTCACGATCACTTAATCGTGGACGCCCCCAATCCTTCGAACTCAGCATTGCTTCTGCTTGGCTCTGAAGTATCTGGTATTCTGCAAGGATGAGATGCAATGAGTTCGCCACAATGCGGATGGTCTGTCTGTGGCATCTTTTGAGTAATATGTGAAACTTGAGAGCAGAACATGTTTAGTTGCAGCTTCTGTTTTTTAAGCGCAGTGAACAGCAGATAAAACCCACCACCTGACTGGAGAGATATTGTATGAGTTGGCACCCAAGTGCAGACTCGTGATATATAATATAGTGGTAAACGTGAACAAGGTTTTTTTTACATTCAAACACAAAAGCACAAAGGGAATTATTTCACAGGCTTCACCGCGGCTTGTTCTAACTTGCAGCATGTTATGAACTAGATTCCTAGTTAATTTAACTTCTAATAATAATACGACTATTGCACTGAGTTGCTCTGCTAAGGTAACACATTGATTATTGCATTGTTTTCTTTATACTGATGGATTCCACAGAAAAGGCTCCACAAAACGGCCTTCGACCAATCAATGTGACATTGAGATTTTTGTTTTCCTGCGGCATGTTTTCATTTAAAAAAAAATTGACCAAGTTTGGTTTTCAACACATTTCATTCGACACATACAATTTAATCTGAATGGTTATGGGACAATAGAACAGGGGTGATATGGTGTTTCAGTCTATTCCAGTGAGTGTTAGAGGGAGGGTGGTTGAATTTATTTTTATTCTGAAAAAGAATCTGAACAGATCTATCACCTAAACATAGGGAAACCCATCACTATGCTTAGAGACTATCCAAACCATTTTGATGGGGAATCAATGAGAATGTGACACTGGAATTCTGTTCTGGGAGCGTTTCTCAGGCTTCATTTCCAGGCTCCATTCATGTTGAGGTTTGTAAAATATATGCCCAAGTGTCCACATTGTGGAATTGATCTGATCTGAACATTTATTTATTACTAGCCTTTGTTCAGAATAAGCAAACGGTATTCACTTTCCCCATTTATCAAGCCTGAAATTAACCTAGCAAACGTGACCTCTAGTGGAAAATTTGCATTGCATTTCATCCGCAGTTAGATGTTTACCCTCAGGTGGGAAACAGCGGCTCCCAGTGGCTGTTTCTCCAACCTGGAACTTGGGTCCAAAACATTTTTGACTTCAAATTTGGATAGGTTTATTCAGCCTTACAAGTCAATAACATGAGTAACATGCCTCAAACATATTCTCATTTGGGTCCAGGGTCCCTCTATTTTCACATATGTTTGCCACCAATTAATTAAAATGTTCCTGTGTCTGGAATAGAATGCACACTCTCTTCCGAAATGGACGCGCCCTGCGTACGTAATTCCTGAGAGTATTAGGCAAAGGTTAAGTGAGAGTCAAGGTTTGGGGAAACGTTTTTTAGCTAGCATTAGTCAAATTATATTTTGTGTGATGTCTCATTATCCACACTGCTTTTCAGTGTTGGGTTGGGATCAGTCTCATTTAGAACAGATAATTAGCTATTTGCTCTATAAACAATTGTATTTACAAATAGAGCAACAGCTTTCTCAATATTTGGCTTCTTTGCTTGAATCTCCAATATCCTAAAATAAATCCAGATTTGCGCTGATTTGTGGCTAATCCACCCCCCTCCCCACCACCATCACCCCACTCATCTTGATTTTCTGACACAAAGTACAGACCCTGAAAACAATTCACGTTTGTTCTATGAATAAAAACTTTCATGGTCCTTAGGGATCTTACTTTTCCATTTTAATAGTTCCCTCTAATTCCCCAACATTATTCTCAATGCTTTGTGCATTTGTATACAACAACAAACAACAAACAACAAAAATTACATTTGTATAGCATCTTTCACGTCGGTAGAACGTCCCAATTAATATTTGGGGTCAGACAGGTGTCTGACACACACGGAAACACATCACCATCTTAGAATATCTAAATCAGACTGAGATTTCCATGTATCCCACCTACACATGAAAATCCCAGAGATATATTGTTGTAATGGAATCCCCTGGAGGGATACATCCTGCTTACCTAATTCCGGAAACTATTAGGCACAAGTTGGCAAGAGCCAAGGCTTGGGGGCATTGAGGTACTGCTGCAGTCTGACCAGTTAAAACTACTTAGCTTGTCATTGATATCCTGCTACTTGTCCAGCTAGTACCCTGCCCATTAGGGATTTGGCTTGCAGGAATAACAGGAGCTGAGTGGAATAATTTCCTACCTCCAGTGACTGGTCTGCCCTTCCAAGTCCTGCCGATGAGCCAGGCTGGCTGGTGAAATGTCCCTTGGCTCCAGTGGTGGAGCCAGTGGGGGATCAGTAGGTGGCTCACAAAATAATTTGCTCACTTACTTTTAAATTCCCAATGGAGATCGTGTTGCAGTTTTGAATCTGAACCAAACACCATCGTCGTGGCTTTGCTGTATGCACATCATGAGCTCTGCCCTCCCTCATCCCGCTCCCTGACTGATACCCAGACCATCAATCAGTATCATGTTACAAGGAGGCAGAGAGGTGGAGCCAAGTCATCCAATTCTTGGAGCCCCCCCACCCCCATCTTTCAACTTCAGCTTTGCTTCTGCTTGGCTCTGAAATATCTGGTATTCTGGAAAGGTGAGATAAAATGGGACAAAGGGTCTTCTTCAACCCAATCTTGTGATCTTGTTATTAGTTTTCTTAGCTGGTGACAGGGTTTAAGGTTCTAGGTCAGATGCCAAACAACGAAATACAATGTACATTCATGCACTTGGCATGTTATGAATAACATTAGTGAACCCATGAGTTCCTACATGCTTCTCATTGCATAACAATTATGTCTGTTAGGGCTCTAGTTTACAAATAGACATTTCACCAGAATTACAATACCTCCCATTACTGATGTATTGGGTTGTGTGGACCCCAGCTGGTCAGTATGAAAAGTACAATTGAACCTCACCTTGGACTTCGGCAATGAAAGCAACTCAGGCCATGTTTCATGGTCACTGTTTTCTGGGTGTAAGGTTGGCTCACTTGGTAGTAATTTTGCCCCGAGTCAGAAGGTTGTGGTACAAGCTCCACATTTTGACTTCAAAATCATAGTCTAGGGCTCGGTAATGTCATTTTAAAAAATCCTTGCATTTGATATAACACCTTATCACGTCTTCGAGACGTCTTAAAGCGCTTCACAGAATATACTGCAAAGTGAATTGACTGTATATTTTGTGGGCGCATAGTCAGAGCGCACATAGAGTTGTTGAAACTCCAATGCTGGGTGGGGGTGATGGGTGCCGTATTGTTGGAGGTGCCATTCTTTGTCTGACACAATAAACCTCCTTCTGTAAATAACTGTACCAGTGATGGCCTGTTATCTGAAATGGAAAGGTCTGGTAATTAAAACCGGTGCAAGCCCTCAATATTTCCAGTGTTTTTTTTTATTATTTGTATGTACACATTTCTTCCTGTGGAGGTGCAAGCGGTTCAGGAGCCTGAATCAGGGAGGCCGGCTCCTCCTGCCTATGTTGTACAGCCTTCGTTGGTTGCAGAGGTGAGAGGGTAAGTGTAAAGGGGTTGTGATGGTGTTTTGAGGGGAGTACTGCAGTGTACTGTGGTGACAAGTGAGAGGATGCCAGTCACTTTGTAACCTTTAAGTTGCTGTTTGGGGTAGAGCTGAGAGTGTGAGTGCAGATACTTTGTGTCCAGCTCACACTTGTGCTGACAATATAAAGACAGCACAGCCTGGGAAGCCTGGCTGACCTGATCTGTGTGCATGTAGCGACGTGCAGGTTAATAACTACTCCCTCAATGTGCTTCACAAATTTACATTTAGATGTAGTGACTGTGCATGTTGTAGGCAATAGATTTCCTGTGTCTCCTTGTGTACTGGCGAGGCGACCAACTAGAGAGACATTTAAACCTGCATTTCTATTAAACAATAAAATTCAAACTTTTGGCTTGCATTCGGTCCGTAGTATATAGTGTTGATCTATTTTTAATGTTAACATCTGATGTTTTAACTTGCCTCCTTTGTAAGCAATGTCACACATTAAGTGCTAAATTCCATAGTCCGATGCAGTGACTGTCAATCCTATCCATGTTGAAGAATTAGTTTTTTTGTTATGCTATCTGTGTGTGACCGGGACGGTGAGGTTCAGCCGTGTGTCCGAGTGCTGACTGGACATTGCAGTCAGACACCATAGCAAGGATCAAAGAGCAGTTTGACCAAATAATAATGCATATGGCAATGCTACAAATCCGCCAGTAGATGTCACTATCGTTTATAATATAACAATAATCCTTGCATTTGATATAGCACCTTATCATGTCACTATATCACAGCCTAGGGCCAGCCTGTGATATAGCACACAGGCTAACCCACTCTTCAGTTTTCTCCTCTCTTTTTTCCCTGGACACTCGCATACAGGTCCCTGGACACTGGTTGTGCTCGGGGACTTTACTCAATGCTCATTCGCCATGTGTTTGCCTAGACAGTGAGTGTTTGTTAGGTTATTTAAACTAAATGAGGGGGTATCACAGCGAAGCTTAATCCTGCCTTTATCCAGGATAAACCTTTCCATCAGGGAGGTGCTCAGAAGCAGAAATCATAAGTCTGCTGGAAGGATGTCAGCGGCAGTCAAATACAATACAAATTAATATTTATAAAGTTCTTTTCAGGTCAGGAAGGCATCCAAGGTGCTTAAGTGACCTGGGAGTCGGCTGTTTTGACGTACCGCTCTCCGTTTGACTTCTTGAATCGCCAAGCTGTCTGCACGTGTGCAGTGAATGTGGCTATGCTATCTGGCAATCATGTCCTGTTATAGCGTTGCTTAGAATTTTATAGCCCGAACTACCTCATTGTAATGGTGCTCCACTGTAATGTGGAAAACCCCAGCCAGTACACACCAGAAATGATCTTTTCCAAAATACAAATTACCAATCCTGAGAGAAGCCTGTAAAATATGAGGTAAGAAATGGTAAAGTTTTCACAAAATGAATTAAACAAAAAATTCAACAGCTCTTCAAAGTCCAACTTTCTTTTTAAGTCCTATATTGTGGGACACTGCCAAAGGCTTAAAGGAGTACGAGAGAGGACAAGATAAGATAACTGGTTAGGTAATGCATGTTTGGTTTTAAGAGCCTGTAGTTTGCAGTTTGAAGTGAAGACTGAGGGAGGTAAAGAGTTTTACAGTGTGGAAGTCCTTGGTAGGAAGGAGAGTAGAGAGTTTTTGATTTGAACACCATCGGGAAGGAGGAGGAAGAGTAGATAGGATGACTTATTTGGACCTTGAGAGGAATCTGTAATTGTAAAATATAAATAAAAAGCCAAATTTCCCAGATAATTTTTTGTTTGAAAAGGACTAAGCTGACTTCTCTTCCAGGCAGCATGAATGGCTTGATCACTCAGGCTAGGGTGCTGAAAGCGTTAAACAGGTGTGGCATGCTTTGGAGAAGGAGTGTGCCACTTGAGCCTTGCAGAGCATGGAGAAGAGCAATCTGCGGGGAGCAGCATCTGAACAGGAACATTGTGTGGCAGAGACCCGAATCACACCGTGTCATTCCCATTCCCGGGATTTTATGTCTCCCGGAAAACTCACTGGCAGTGCCTGTGAGACATAAAAGCAGCAAAAGTTCCAAAAAGGGGAAAAGCAAAATTCTGCAGGAGGAAGAGGACGATGATGATGATCCTGAGAAGAGTGACTACGAGGATGAACCAGAACAGGAAGATGATCCCACGCTGCCTAAAACCTACAAAGATCTTGAGAAAGTAGTGACGTCATTCCGATTTGATCTCATCATGAAGGAGGGTCTAGATACAGCAAGGAAGTAAGTCCTGGGTCTCCCAATCAAAGGGGAAAGCATTCAATGTTATTCCCACCAGCACTAGATTTCAGAATAGGACACTATAAATCTTTCCGGCCACAACACTCAGATACCCCCCAGCTCGGAGTCGTGCCCGACACTTTCAAGCACTCTGGGATGCGACCTTACGTGAGGGGTGGGGGGTGCTATATAAATGCAAGTTGTTGTTGGTGTGGTGTGTGTCGCCATAATAGCACAGAGAGAGTGGCTCACTTTATGCACTGGATGTCCATACATTCATGCAGCAGAGCATGGTGATTATTATTGTACATGTGCAGATGCCGCTCTGCATTATCCTTTTGAAAATTGTAGTACCAACTAGTTATAAGTAGATAATCCGCTGGTAGCAATCAACGGTCAATACTGTTGGTACATGATTATCATTCACAAATGACAGTAGAGCAAATGACAATTGAAATGTTCTGAGTTTGAAAGGACATATCTCCCGTGCCCTCCATTCCACCATTGGTCGCTCGCCACCCTTTCAGACGCACTTTCCTCTATCCCTCTGCCTGGCCCCTTCCTTCTCCATCTTCAGGTTGTGCCTGAAGACCTTCCTATTCGACTGTGCCTATGGTTACCTCACTCTCTCCCCAGCTCGGAGTCGTGCCCCGACACTTTCAAGCACTCTGGGGTGTGACCTTACGTGAGGGGTGGGGTGGGGGGGTGTTATTTGTTGGTGTGGTGAGTGTCGCCATAATAGCACAGAGAGAGTGGCTCAGTTTATGTACTGGATGTCCATACATTCAGCAGAGCCATGTGTTGCAGTCAATCACACATTCACCTTTGTATGTACGAAAAGGCCATCGTTGCTGTGTTATACTCTTCATGTATATTCAGACCTTAATGGTAAATGGTAAGAGTCGCTAAATTGCTGGATTACTTAAGCCTGATGTCCTCACCTGAAGATTGTGTCTTTGTAAACTTGGGCAAAATCCATATGAGAAGCCAATATGCTCTTCTAAGTACTGTGTGAATTATTTTTTCTAAAACAATGTGTGATCTTTCATTATATCTGAAAGTGTACATATGCTTATCAATACACATAAATTACCTGTGATGTACTTTGAGATATTTCAACATTTCAACATATTTCAAAAAATGCAAGGATTATTATTTAGTGAAAATTTGCTATTAAGGGCCAGACAATATACTGTCTGAATTTTTCCTAATAGTGATTTTATGAGTTTGGCATTCTGGTCAACTTCAGTTTTGTGTAATTTCTGCATTTGATAAGCGCTTTTCACGTTGGGAGAATCAAAGCGCTTCACAAGATTTACTGTAAAGTGTAGTGGCCGTGTGTTTTTAGGCAAACGCAGCAGCCAGTTTGTATACAGTAGTGTCTCACAAACAACCGTGAAGTTAATGAGCAATTTTATCTGAAAGAAAAACAGAAGTCGTTGGGATCACTCAGAAGGTCAGGCAGCATCTATGGAGAAAGGAAAGTTCTACACGGTCACTACACTTGACTTTCCTTTCTCCATAGATGCTGCCTGACCTGCTGAGTGTTCCCAGCGACTTCTGTTTTTGTTTCAGATTTCCAGCATCAGCAGTATTTTGCGTTTTGAGCAATTTTATCTATTTTTCTTATCCAATTCCCTTTCAAATGCTGGACAAAAGATAATGAACTCCGAGCAGACCATTCTTTCCATGAGCTGAATTGAATCAGTTTTCAGTTTGTAGATCAACCATAAAAAATGTGAGACTGGACAGGATTTGAACCTAGAATAAGTTGAAAGACAATATGCAAATTCTGTGCCGTCAGTGCTCAAGCAGTGTGCTGTTAACATCCAATTTATGTGTTTTGTTGCTTTTCAGCAAAGTTGAAGATGCCTTCTATAGTAACAAACTAAGACTGAATGGAGGAAAGTTATTGAAGAAGAGTAAAGCGGTAAGTTTTAGTTCGAGTCTTAATTTTCAATATCCTCATTAAAATCCAAAAGCTGTAAATGATTGCAATACCTCCAGTGATAGTTTGCCCTTTTAGCTGCATTACCTCATGATGAGCTATTGTCACTTTAAGTTTAATAATTGAATCTGCTTTTTTGCTGCATTGGTATTCTGATTACCTTCTCTGGATTACTGAGATAAGACCACAAGTTTGCAGGTTGCGATCACGGCCTGCGCTGATTTAGCTGATCTCAACAGTTGGGTCTACAATTGGCCTCAACAGCCCTGGATTGGGGAAGGTACAGAGCAAATGCCAATTGAAATTTTCTGAGTTTGAAAGGACATGATGTGTGTTACCATAACAGCACAGAGTTAATGCCTCAGTTTATGCACTGGATGCAAAGCCATGTATTGCAATGAAACATAGGTTCACCTGTGTACTGATAAGAAGGCCATTGTTGCTGTTCCATGATCCTGATATATATTCAGACTTAAATGGTAAATGGTAAGAGTCCTTGTGTTGCTGGAGTGCTTAGAGCAACCAACTAAAGTCTCCATTCCAAATCACTATCCATAAACCTCTTTCTGTTGGCAAATGTGGTTGTCAGGTGACGGTAGAAACAGGTATCAGGCTTCACTTATTGCTTTCTCCACCTAGTGGGTTGAATAATCTACAGACATTTTAAGACTCACAATTGAATAACATTGCCTTGGGGAAGCTAAAGCAGGCAACCATTGCCCACACAATAGTCCCCAGTAAAAAGAAAAATAAATGCATTGGATTCCTTCAGGAGATGGGAAGTGGAGAAATTGGAGGAGAAAAATTTGGCGGAAAGGAAAATAAAATGATTTTCTAGAGGAAATAAAATACAGACGAGGGCAATCCTATTGCCCAAATCAAGTTTTGATAATTCTTCCGTTTTATGTTAGTGGTACTTCTGATCCCACAGAGTCATTGGCAAAAAAAACTTCAAAAAAGAGAGAAAAAGTCATTAAACAGTAAATGACTGGAACATTTCCAAAACTGGCATCAAAAGCTTTCAGTAATCCCCGATTATGGGCGTTGTGGGTGGGCAGCACCATGGTTAACCTACACAGAGATTGAAACCATCTGCAGTTGCAGTCCTGTAATAAGATTATCCCCAGTTCTTGGCCAGCTGTTTACATTTTGTTGCCATAATCGTATAATGGGATGGGAGACATTTAAACGTGAAAGTTGCAGAGACACAAGTCACAGGAGGGACCTGTTGTAAAGCTGCCCGGTGAGAACATTGACAGACTGCCTGCCCCAGTTGACAACTCTGTACCCATATGATTAGGTTGGCAGCCCTAAATCTGTGTGGATTTTCTTTTCCAAAAGCTGCGGTAAGAAAGCTTGTAACTTTGAAAGGATTAGAAAAGCACTTTGCTGTCTGTCTCATTTTTTTCAGGATATCTCATGTTGCTGATAGTACTGTAATTATTGCCATTTCACGAAGGAAGGTTGTGTCTTTAGTGGCTATTAAAATATTTAATCAGACTGTGTGTATAGGACACTTGTTCACCTGGTTTCTGTATGTTCTGGAGAGTGGGGGTAGGTGATTAACTTGTGCAGTAGAATAAACACAAGCCAATCAACTCACGTAAACCACCACATGAGATATTCTGAAAATGCTGAGCTTTTGAGTTTTTAATTATTTTTGCCTACAAATGACAGGTCTTTTTGTTTAATTTCACATCTGCAAAAACGTTCCTTATGATATTAAAGGTATAAAATGATAACAGTGTTAGCGAAATGCACAGAACTTTAAAATAGCTTCACACCTGGTAACTCGAGGAACTGATGTACATTTAAGAGAAAAAAGCCTGGTTCTGTTCTTTGTAAGTGATGGTCACTGCAATCAGCAGATAACAAAACAAATAGTTTGTTTTTCCTCTTACAGGTGAAGGAGGGAGATGTGCTGGATTTTATTATTGGTGAAGATAAGGAAACCGGATCAGTTACCCTCATGAGGGTGGTATTCAGAAAAGTGTCTGAGGAAATGACAGATAAGGATAAATACAGAGTCACCCTGAGACGCTGGAAGAATTTAAAGCTTCCCAAAGAGGAGTGTTTTAAGTAACACTGAGCTGTGCTCTGAACTGGCAGAGGGCTCATTTAGCAAAACTAATGTATAAAGTATGTTCAACCCAAAGTATGGATTGTTATCAGTTACTGTTGATATTTTTCACCCGTTTGGTAAGGTTCAGGAGAATGAATGAAAGGAGGAAGAGAATGAATTGAAATCAGGTTTCAATTTTTTAAATTAAATATCTTTTGGTACATTTTGGGCTCTTTGAGGTGAGGATGGATGTCAGTTCTGAGGAATGAAACATGTTACCACTTCAGTCATTTCATGTTCAGACTCCCAGTTAAGGTACAATACAGCAGCAGAGTAAAGCTCCCTCTGGTCCACCCAGTAACTTGTCATCATTCCGATATTAGTTTGCACTTATGTTACACCTTTCACATAGTAGAACGTCTCAAAGCACTTTAAACAGAGTGGGACCCCAAGCGTGATGGGAGAGAAGGTATTCAGGAGACCACTGAATGCACAGTCAAAGAGAGAATTATGTAGACAAGTTTTAAAACCGGAGGGGGAGGGATTGAGGCAGAGGGATTCAAAGGCAGTTGCAGAGAGCAGGGACAAAGAACTGAAGGCTCACCCACCAATGATGGGAGAGGGGGATGAAGCAGCCTGAGTTGGCAGAGTAGAGGGAGTGGCAGGGAAGAAAAACCACAGAAATTGCAGAGATAGTGTGGGGCCAAGTCATGGAGGCATTTGAAGGTATGATCGAGATATGATAAAGTCAATCGCCTAGGTCAGTGGTGGCCAACCTGTGGCCCACAGGCCGGAAGTGGCTCCCTGGCAGGTCAGAAATGACCCACCGAACCTTCGCACTCGTCTAGGTAAGTCCATGTTCGATCGGTATTTGTGATTTCATTTTTTTCTTGATTGAATATTTCCTGATTTATGGGATAATCAAGAAATATTCAATCAAGAAAATATATTTTGTTTGCCACCACTGCCCTAGAATACTCCCTATTCTAGACTAAACTCCTCAACCTCCCTGGGCTCTCCCTAAGACTAACCGAACCAGTGCGCAATCTAGGAGTCCGGTTCGACCACCAGCTGTCCTTCCTCCAGCTCTACCATTCAAAAGATCCAGCTCATTCAGAACTCTGCCATCTGCATACTGACCCGGACCAAATTCCGTACCCACATCTCACCAGTTCTGGCCAGGCTCCACTGGCTCCCCATCACCGAACAGATCGACTGCAAGATCCTCACACTAGTGTTCGTCCATTCACTCCCTGGCACCTCCCTACCTCTTCGACCTCCTCACTCCCCAATCCACCACCTGGTATCTCTGCTCGACTGGCACCGGCCTTCTGCTCATCCCTCGCACCATCGGATGTTGAACTTTAAGCCGCTATGTCCTGAAACTCTGGAACACTTTCCTTCAATCCCTCCGCCTTGCACCCTCCCCTCTTTCAAGTCCCGCCTGAAAACTTTCCTCTTCGACCATGGTTACGGCCACCTCGCCCCTCCCCGCGGCTCGGAGTCAGGCTCCGCCTCTGTTGTGTGCTCTGAGATACTACCCTGCATGGGGAGCATGCAACTTGTTGTTCAGATGAGATGTATTTAGTATTCGATGTATGCAGGTGTAATGGAGTGCCACAAGGATTAGTGCTTGGGCTTCAATTATTTGCAGTCTATATCAATGATTTAGATGAGCAGATAGAACTTAACATATCTAAATTCGCAGATGATACTAAGCTAGGTGGGAGAGTAAGCTGTGAGGATGACACACAAAGAATGCAAAGGGAAATAGACAGGCTAGGTGTGTGGGAAGGAAGATGGCAGATGGAGTATAACTTGGAGTATAACGTGGGTATAACATGGAGTTCTGTAGCTCAGTGGTTAGAGCACTCGCTTTGCAAACGAGAGACCTGTGTTCAATTCCAGGCAGGGCGAAATCTTGGGCAAGTTTCCTTACTCCACACACCTAATAATAATCCCTCCAAAACCAAAAACAATAATTGGTCATTTTTAATCTACGACTGTTTGTGGGACATTGCTGTGCGCAATTGGCTGCTGCGTTCGCCCACAAATATACAGTCAATTCACTTTACAGTGTGTTCTGTGAAGCGCTTTGGGACGTCCTCCCGACGTGAAAAGCACTATATCAAATGCAAGGATTATATTTATTATTAAGTGTGAACTTATTCACCTAGTGTTAGATTGACTAGAATATGTAGAAATTATAACATGTTTAAAAACATTAGAAGAACGCTGAGCTTGTCGGTTTCAGGCACTGGGAGAAGGAGGCACGACTTGGAGTATGAGGTAAGGCCACCTGGAGATAGGGGGAGACCCTGAGCCTGGCACCAGGACAATAGAATATGTGTCTGAAAGCTTTTTCTTGTAGATTGGTTACACTCTCAAGGACAGTACTGAGATACGGTTAAGCCTGTCTCAATTCCAGGTGGCCAAAAAAAAGAGAACCTCGTTGATCAAGTTAGACAGGACAAAGGAAAAATAAAATTCTGGAGATCATAATCTTATCTGGCCGGAGCAAAGGTTAGAAGGGAATTGAGTATAATTGGGGTACCACCGAACAGAGAGAGGTGGAAGCAGGGAGAGAGAGACTAAGAGAGAACGTGAGTATTGCAAAAGCCTGAGCCTGAGAAGCTGACATGAAAGACTGAAATCAGCCTACAGACTGCATAGAACTGGTAGTATGACTATTTACCTCTTTTGCTACATACTCAAACTGTTTGTGAATAATAAACCATTATACCTTTATTAAGGATTGTTGAGTCATTATTTCGGATCCTCGGGATCGGTATATCCCAACAAATTGGCGACCACGAAGGGACTCAACAAATAGTGGTTTATCGTTTATAAATGGTTCGGATGGAAATTAATCTGCACCACACATAAGAAAAGGAACCGTCTGCTTTGGATCTTATCTTGTTCATGATTGGATAAAAGTAAAGGGTCTTGGCACAGTGCTACAGTTTATGATGTAAACAGGGAATACGTGTTCCTAGGGGCCTGACAGGGTAACCGGGACTAGAGATCAGGCAGGGACTGGAACGACAAGTACGTCTTCTAGGGGCCTGGCAGGGTAGTCCGGATTGGAAATTACCCACGTTTGCGAGTAAAAGAGAGCAGGCAGGGACTGGAATAATGGGTTCATTCCTGGCAGGAGAACATAAACTCATACGACCAAGGTTACTTCAGTTATAAAATGAGCAGAGAACAGAAACGGCGGGAAGAATTCAAGAAACACAGTATTCAGAATGAACAAAAAGGGGATAAGTTTGCTGAGGGATGGTACGGATGAGCATTAAGAGAAATTAGAAAGCACGCAGAGCACCAGTTCTAGTATGAGGCACAGGTAGAGGAATGGCTCAGGAATAAGTTTGTGGCAGGAGAGGTTAAAAATGTGAAGGCTGTCGGTAAACTAAGAGGGTTCTTTTGACAAGGGTTAGTCGGTCAACTTGCGACACTTAAGGAAGCCCAAGTAAAAGAAGTGGAAGAGCGTAAGATATTAGAGGCGAAGGTAGCAGAGCTGGAGGAGCAGTGTGATAAAATGAAGGGAGAATGGTACACAGAGAAGGAATAGTGGGATCGGAAAGATACACAGAATGAGGAGGTACAAAGAGAGCAGCAAGTAAGGATTGCAGAGCTAAGTAGTATGGGGAGAAGTCAAGCAATGTTGATTAACATGGGCTTACAGGAACAAAAAGAGTTAGGTGAAGTAAGAAGGGAGATGAAAGTGTTAAAGAAGGAGGTGGAGCGATTGAAGGGTGAAAATGATGATCTGCAAGATGCCTGCCGGGTGGCGGTTAAGGCAGGAGAAGCTGGACGGCAGGTAGACCATCAGGTTTGCAGGGAACAAATTGCTGAGTTAAAGGGGCAGCTGTGTGAGAAATGGGCTTTTGTGTGGGCAGTAACAGGAGGAAGGGGTAGTAATTGGAGTAATGCCTCCAGTGAATGCTATAAAGGTGGGGGTAGAGGGCACTTTGTTTGTGATTGTCCAAGCGAGCTACAACCGGAGTCTAACCAAATTGAAAATTTCCCCTATATCACCTCTAAACCTTCGCCCACGGACCAAAAATTGGATAGATTGATTGCCTTATTAACCCTCCAGCAGCCGACTGGAGGCGGTCTTCAAATCAGTAAAACCTCCAGTTCTAAACATGAGAAAGATGAAGAAGTGGACAGACTTAAAGCACAAGCAGCAGCCTTAGTGGAGGAAAAAACTGAAAAAGTGCAGGAGAACAAGGGTTCGCTGCAAGGTTTAAAGACAAAACAAGACAAATTAATTCAGGTAAAAGAAGGGGCAAGATTAAGGGATGAACTCAAATCCAATAACAAAACCATCAATACCGAAGGATTGTAAAGGTGAAACTAAGAAAGGTATTAAAGAGTCAAATTTTGAAGAAAGATTAGGACAAACGGTTACTTCTGAATTTGAAAGATTACAGAAGGAGTTAAAAGCAATGAGACAACTGATTGAACAATGTATAGATTCTTGTGTCTCACCGATATGCCTCCAGACCAAACAGGGAGATTACTTTTTGGCTAATCTGAAAGCCCTCAAACAGTTTAGTCTCCTTGATGCTTGTGAGGAGTCTGGAAAGGTCAAAATGCTGTTCTCTCAAATAAAGAGATTAACAAAAGTTGAGAGAGAGAGGATGGGCTCATTGAAAAAAAACAAGAGAAAAGAAATTTATACAGCACAGAAACCTTAAAAAATCACGAACTGTAGCCACTGAATGTGAGCAGTTTAAATTCACTGACTGCCCGCACTGATTTGTGTAAACAAATGAACACTCACTGCTTCATGCTGACCAGCACAGGCTGTTCAGAGAGTGTTAACTCTTTGGTTTCCACATAAAGTGAAACTGTTTTTACAGCTAATGATCATGTCCAAGCTACAATTGAATCCCTGGTAAAGCTAGTAGTGCAAGTATTTTGAGGCAGTAGCACAAATAGATCAAATTTCTATTCCTAACTTCACATGATGGTCACCAACTTTACTGCAATCGTTTTAACTAACTAAAGCGTTTAAAGAAACGGGAGATTTCACTTTGTGATTTAGTTCCTACAGATACTGACAATGGCTGGTTACACCCTCT